ACATCTTTTTATAAATGTAAGTGTAAAGCATAAATTGAACTCTATCAACCTGCACCTGAACCAATGGATTTAAAAATTCTTTTAAGAGGGGAAGGCAGCTGCACCGTGCCACATTCATCCCCAGCCAAGTCTGCATCATAGATTCCGTGCCCTGGCCATATGAAACTACTAATTTCTAGCTGGCTCTGAATGTTGGTTCACCTCAGCATAGGGCCACAGAGGTGACAAGCAACTGACCAAGTTCACTGTGGATGAAGCCAACTCACCAAGAAAAAAGTAAGCACCTAAGGGTTGGCAGCTTCAGGGAGAGAGCACAGATGAGCCAGCAGCACTACCCACAAGAAAAGCCCACAACTGCATTCACAATAGCATCAAAAAAATGAAATACTTGGGAATTAACCTAACCAAGGAAGCAAAAGTCCTTTACAATGAAAACTACAGTTCTCTGAAAAAAGAGATTGAAGATGGTATTAGAAAATGGAAAGACACCCCCATTGCTGGACAGACAGAACCAATATAGTCAAAATGGCCATAGTTCTAAAACTGATACATAGATTCAACAAAATCGCAATCAAAATACCTACAGCATTCCTCACAAATCTAGAGAAAACAATCCTAAGATTCATATGGAATCAGAAGAAACCAAAAACAGCAAAAACAATCCTGGGTAACAACAACAAAGCCAAAGGTATCACATTACATTACAAAGCTGTAATAATGATAATAGCATGGTAATGACACAAACACAGACATGTGGACCAACAGAACAAAACAGAGGATACTGACCATAGACACATTTAGTTACTTAATCTTCAAAAGGGCCAAACACATACACTGAAGGTATAAAGATAGACTCTTTAATAAATGGTGCTGGAAAATTTGGCTATTCGCATGTAAAAGATTGAGTCTGGACCTATATTTCTTATGGTGTACGAAACTAAAATCAAAATGGATCAAAGATCTAAATGTTAAAATGTAAATATTTAATCTACTGGAAAATAAAATAGATAAAACTTTTAAAGACACAGGAGTAGCCAGAAACATTCTGAACAGAATCCTAATGGCACAAGAAATACCACCGAGAATCAACAAATGAGATCCTGTCAAGTTGAAATGCTTCTACACAGCAAAGAAAACAACCAACAGAGTGAAAAGAACCCTACAGAATGAGAAAACATGTAAACATGATCCTTGGAGGACTCATATCTAGAATATATAAAGACTCAAAAAAAATTTAGATCCCTCAAAATAAAAGACCCAATCAAAAAATGGCAACTGAAATGAATAGACATTTCTGAATAGAATAAGTATAAATGGCCAACAAATATGTGAAAAAAAAATGTTCAACATCTCTGGCCATTAAAGAAACTGCAAATTAAAACAACAATGAGATTTCATCTTACTCCATAAAGAACGGTTACCACTGAGAAATCAAATAGTAACAAATGTTAGAGAGGCTATAAGGAAAAAGGAACCCTTAAACTAGTACAACCACTATGGAAATCAGTAGGGAGATTCCTCAAAAAACTACAACTATAAATTCCATTTGACCTAGCTATTCACCTTGAATTAAAGACATCATATTATAGTAATACATGCATACCCATGTTTATGGCAGCAAAATTCATAATGCCTGAATCTTGGAAAAGGCCTAATATGCCCATCAACAGATGAATGGATAAAGACAGCACCATATTTACACACAATGGAGTACTACTATAAAGAAAGATAAACTTGAGGTATTTATAGTTAAGTGGATTGAGACGAATATTAAGTGAAATAAATCAGACATACAAGCTCAATATTGCACGGTTTCTCTCATATGAAAGACATAAAAATATAAATAAAGACCAAAAGGAAACTCAGATGAAGGAAGCAGGGAGCTATTTTTCAAGAGATGGAGGGAAAGCAGGGACAGGGAAAGAGGCTGAAAAAACAACTGGCATCTGTATCAACACCCCACAATGGATACAATAATTATTTAATGTAAACATGTACCGATAAAAAATAAAAACTGTAAAAAATAAAAGCTAAATATGTTCTGTAAAAAAAAAACAATTCTAATTTAAGAAATACAGAAAACACACATCTACAACGCACAAGCACATGATTTAGAGATAGTTTCTTTAGGACACAGTCCCCGAACTTTGCTATGCATTTGCAAATTTTTAACACCTAGAAAGGTTTAAAGAATCCAAATGCCCAGATCGCAGCTCAGAAAAATCAAATGCGAGTGTTGAGTCAGGTGCCAGGCATCCACATTTTTTATAGATCTCAGACAATGCCAATGTGAAATAAAGTTTGAGAGCTACTGTTCTAGGGCAAAGTTTGTGATTATCTTTATTATTAAATTAGTAACTTAATTTGCCACTATTATAGGTGGTTTTAAGTCTCTAACTGCCTAGACTGAGTGAATTACTATGCAAAGCTTCTTGGCAATCATCTGCAAAATGCCATCTTTGTACAGGGACAGAAAGAAGCTGACGTACTACAGATGACTTGAAGAAAAAAGGAAGGGGATAATATCTGATTTCCATATTCCTCATAAAGGTTACTCATGATACACTGAGTCACTCATTAACCAAAGGCGGTCAGCCTGGACACTGGAGTCCCAGCCCGAAGAGCATGGAAATGATGCATATTTCACAAGGCACACCCTTACACCTAGGGATATTTCCAGTCTAGTACACTACAAACTACCTCCATCCGGAATGGTACCCTGAATTCCCACAGAGAACTCAGAAACGTACAGAAGTTCCACATAAATTCAAGGTGTGCTTCCAGATTTACATGCTAGAAAGGATATATAGCCCACTATGGGTCATGGAACAACAAAGATTTCTCAAAAATGTTAAGAGTCAACAGATAGGATCTGGTTTATAACAGGGCATTCAGAACCTCTGCTTCTCAGCCTATGTGTCCATCAACAGATGAATGGATAGAAAATGTGGGATACATACGTAACAGAGTACTATTCAGCCATACAGAAGGATAAAATTCAAGTAACTGTAGGAAAATGGAAGCAGCTTGATATCGTAAGGCTTATGATGAAGCCCAAAGTAGAAATAATTCAAAATAAAAATAAAAGATAACAGGAAATTGGATAGATTTTTTACAAATGGGAAGGGTATCTACAGATGGAGGGAACAGAAAAGGTGAGGAAAGGGAGGGGAAGTAAAAATGTTTAAAATGTGTTATGTACATGTATCGATTCCCCAGAATTAATGTATTCATTATGTATTGCAAGCATGTATTCTTTTAAAAAAAAAAGTACTTCTGCTTCTCCAGCCACTTTCCCCATGCTGTGACCAAAGTTCAGGTGACTGTCCTACTCTTTTCTACTTCCAATAGGAATAGATATGAATTAGCAAAACTGAATGTGACATTCTGGGGCTACTTTTTAAATACAGTGTTACCTTTGTTCACGAACTTAATTTGTTCTATTATTCTGGAAAGGATGCCCATATTTGTGTCTGCGTGGGAAAGATGGCCATGTTCCTGTTTGTTACCTAATACAGTTTGCAAATGAAAACAAAATTCTGCCAAACACTTCTGTTTATGAACCAAATTGCTGGCAAACAGGAGTGTTCATGAACCAAGGCACCACTGTAATGGGGCCATAAACCATCAGAACACCAAAATACTGTTTAGTGACACAACTTACCTTATGACACATGTAAGAGCCACCTTTCTTCACCCGGTCTTTCCCAGAAGGGGGGCCTTTCTATGGATGAAGAGAAAATAGTTTGTTATATAGACAACACAGACGCTCCTCACACAGTGAGAGAGAGGACCTTCTCATTCAACCATCTATCTCATGCGTACTAAATTTTTGACGTGCATTTCTGCCCGCGGACGTTACATCTACCCTTTCCAGGGCCTCCCAAAGGCCCTCCTCCCCATCTACAGCCCGAATCTAGCTTCCATTCTTTTATGATGTCTTCATGACCACAGGAAGCAATCCTACCTATAAGCCTCTACATCTCTTGCCTAGACGACTAGTGTGTTGCTTGTCAGCATCTCTTACCTTGTCTCACCGACACACAAATTTATTCTGCAGTGTAACTGCTTTGTACGATCATGGCAAGCTTCTTTAAATTATATGCTTTTCATAAGCCCACCAAGTAACACTTAATAAATCTTCTGTTGATGAATCCATTTTTTTCTCTTAAAATGTTTGGGTTAGATCAAGGCATAATTTACATAAAGTAAAATCCACCTTTTTAAAAGCACAGTTCCAATGAGTTTTTTGGTTTTGTTTTTGAGATGGGGTTTTGCTATGGAGTTCAGGCTAGCCTTGAACTCACTTTGTAGCCCAGGCTGGGCTCAAACTCACAGGGACCCTTCTGCATCAGCCTCCTGAGTGCTGGGATTACAAGCAAGCACCACCACGCCAGGCCCTAAGTTTTGACAGCTACAGTCATGTGACCATCAATATAATTAAGACAAGCATCACAGTTTATCTTCTTAAAAAAAAAAAAAAAAGATTTATAAGTGCCCACTGTGACTCAGGCACAGTTGTGAGCATGTTGCTGGTATTAACTCAGGTATTCTCCATGACAGTTTCACAGGGAAGTTATGTAAGAAGTGACGGCAGAACAAGGACCACACTCCAGTGGCCCTGTGCCAGAGTCCATCCTCTGAAGCACTCTCCCTTTTTCCCAGTGAGAAATTAGCAAACTGGGGAGAACCGAAAAGGACGTAAGAAGGGACAGCAACTATCCCTGTAAAGAGACTGGCGATCCAGACAAACCAAAAGATAAAGTTGTTTCTTCTACAGAGAGCTTCTGATAAAAGGACAATGCAATGCAAGTGAAATCCTAGTTTCAGTTGACACATTAAAGGCTACAACACCAGGTAAGCCATGCAAAGAGCATCTGAAATGTACCAGTAAGCGCCTATAAGTCAAAGCCACAGCCGGGAGCAGGGGGAAATGAGGAGCTCTTGCTTTTCCCTTATTGTTCAACAAGACAACTAATCACACTCTGTTTATTGAAAACAAGAGACACCTGGCCATTTCTTCTCAGCAACGTATTGTCAAGAGCCATTAGACAAGTTATATTCTTTTAACATAAGTGACAAAAGTTAAAAGAACCATGTTTTCTCCAAGCACATGTTTTATTCTAAGTTTTCCCAGGTACTTAGAAATTGTCACAGACAAAGTCATTGGCTCTTCTTTGTTCCTCCATAGGGTCCCAGTTATTCCCCAGGCCTTAAATGTTCAATGTTACATTAGTAAACTTTCACTGATTACAACAGGCCAGTTACATGTAACCATAATGACTAGTAGCACAGTTTTCTTCCCACAAACGTCCAGAACCTGACAGACACTGCATTGGGATCTTCTGGATGAGTTTACTGTTGCTTACAAGTAAGACATTTGCCAAGAATTCACTGCAGCATAATGGGAAGGATGTGTAACTGTGTACGTGTCACATGCAGTGGTCACATTCATACTCATTTTCGTGCCCGGGACTTCTTGCACTACACTGCTTCAAGTGGTTTTCTGCGTGCTATATTGCAAAGAACCAAATGAGAGTTTAGTTCTGATGGAAGTCTCACAGTATCTACTAACATGCAAGATGAAATTCTTTTGTCCAGACACATCTAGGAAGGAGCCAATCTACCAATAGGAGGATGTGAGAACAAAACAATCCCCTTTCATCATCTATTCCCCTAACCTAAGACTACAATCAA